TGACATGTTGCAGGGACAAGGGAGACGCGGCACTGCTTTTGTGGTGGGATCAGTTATGGCCCAGTTGAAGGTACTGATGCAGCTGAATTGTCCAACGTCTCTGTTCTCTTGCTCATTGGATATATGGAAGCACAGCACACAGAGGACCCCTCACTTTTGCCCCCCCTACCCTTCCCTGACAGCCTTTGTGACGATCCCAAAGTGTTTCAGCAAAGGAAGGCTTGTAAGGCAGAAGACCATTTATCTGCCCTTGGAAGAGCGTGTTCCCTTGGTCTGAGAGCTGCCTTTCTCCCCGCAGGTTCCGCTCTGGTGGACTGGCTCATCTCCAACAGCTTTGCCGTGTCCCGGTTTGAGGCTGTCACCCTGGCCTCCATGCTGATGGAGGAGAACTTCACCAAGCCCGTGGGGGCACGCAGCACCGGGGCCACGCGCTACAGTGACCTCTCTGAGCAGTTCCTCGATGACTCCACCGCACTGTACATGTTCGTAAGTGATGGGCTGCCAAGTGGCAGCTCCTCTGCCCTTTGTCACGTGCTTGATCTGAGGCAGCGGTAAAGGGGACATGCACAGCATGCACCCGTAGGCAAAATATGCAGGTGTGAAAATAAACAGAAGCAGAAGCTTCAGGCTTTCAGACATTTAGTACTGGAACTTTTGCTGGAAACAACTGCAGGGATACAGAGAAATCTACAAATCAAGTAATTTGGTATTAAAAAAGGTGTAGAGCAGAATTTGCTTGGGAAATAGTAGCTAAAAGTAGATCAAATGCAGAATCTTGTACTTAAGAGTGTATTTAGATGAAAAACAAACATGAAACCATCTATTCTGTGCTTGCAGGCTGAGACTGGTAAGAAAATGCTCAATTCCAAAGAAGAGCTACAATTTAACATCTCCGAATTAAGTGGCACAATTGTGAAGCAAGGATACTTAGTGAAACAGGTAAATACAGTCTTTGAACTATCACTTGGAAGCAAGAAAAAGGACAGCTGTTACAGCTCAGTGGAGAATGAATGTGTTTCAGGAGCACAGCAGTGGAGTTGTGTCCCACAGAGTGGATCTTGCTTACCATCATGAAGTGGAGAGTATCTGGTTATAAATATATAAGTTATGGAACTTGCTGCTCTGGCAGGATTAATTGGATATTCCGTACGTGCTGAGTATATACTGAAAGGCATAAAGCAACAATCAAGAGTCCAACGCAAATTCCACCAGAGCTGTTACAGTCACACCAGGTGGATTCACTGTTCCTCTTTTTTAACCCATCCTGTGGGGATTTTCCAAGCAGCCACAGTATTCTGGGGACCATGACTGAATTCCAAAGCTGAGCAATTCGATTTTAGCATGAAGGGGACATTAACTTATGAGCAGTCACACAGACACTCACACAGATGCTCTAGTGGGGGTGAGTCCTATTTTTTTTCCAGACACAACTACCTGTCTGTGGTAATTGCTTATGTGATCCCACACTTAGAGGTGAGCAAGATGAGGACCAATCCCTCTGGTTCACGGCAGAACACAGCCAGACACAGAGGGATCCCCACCTGCACTGCACAGTCACATCAAATTTGAAGTTAAGAGCAGAGCTGTTATGTAATCTCTTGGTCCTTTCACTCTTCTTTCTCAATTCTCAGCACAAGAAAGGAATAAGAAAACATTAAAGAGGAATATGAATAAGGAATAAGAAGGAGGTTAAGCAGAAAACCCTGGGAGTTATTAAGATGTCAAAAAGGCTTTTTTCTCTGTTGGCTGCAAAACATCTGTTTTTCAGCACCCTATTAAGGCTGCCCAAACAGCCTGCAGGAAAATGGCCATTGCAGGTTGTATGTCCTGTCAGTAACATTAATTCTTCCATTTTGTAGGGACACAAGAGGAAAAACTGGAAGGTGAGGAAATTTGTTCTGAGAGCTGATCCTGCTTTCCTGCACTACTATGACCCCACCAAGGTATGTGAGCGGGGAGCTGATACCCTCAGAAATCCTCTTGCAGACCTAAATATCATCATGAAAATACAACACAATTATGTTGTAAATATTTCTCTCTCCCAGATCTCCTCCTGGATTCTTCTGTTGATTTCCTGAGGAATAAGGCCTCACTGGCCTTACCTATGGAGTTGCCCCTGTATGATTCTCTGTCCCTGAGTCCCCTGCCTACCTTTTCTCCATTGAGATTCCTTTTCCTTAGATGTAGGGCAGCAACCTTGGGGTTACTCTTTTGCTGTACACACAGTCTGTGACAATGCTCCTGCAGGGATTCTTCCTGGGCTGTAGTCTTTTTGAACTGGCATTCCATCACTTGAGAGCAACACTGGGATTTCCTCTGTTCTTTTTACATCCTTGAATAGGGTTCCCTTGATCTCAAGGTATTTACAAGAATTTCTGCCACTCAGATTTAAATTTGCTCGAGGTATAGGGAAGTTTATTATTTTATCTTCATGGATGTTACATCCATGTTACATGGAAGAGAGAGAGTGAGCTAGAAGGGCATGTGGATCCATCAGTCCCAGTCACACAGGGTACCACAAAGCCCATCAGAATACTAAGATGAACATGTACAGGAATGTTTTATGTGATTTATAAAGGAAACAAATGGAATAACAGTTTTAGATTTTATGGATCTGGTTCACCTTTTTTTTCCCCTCCCTCCCCCTCCCTGTTCTTTTGAAGTGTGTGTAGGGGGTTGTTTTTTGTTTCTTTTGGTTGCTTTTTTTTCTTGTCATTCATTTGTTTGCTTACATTGCAGCTTGCCCTTGCAATGCTATACAATCAGACTGCAGAGTCAGAAGTTCAGGCATAAGATCCTTTCATCTTACAAAGGAAAACAGATTTTTTTTCCATACAAGCTCAGTGAAAAGCTGCAAGCTAAAAACTTGCAGATATTTTTTGTTTGTTTTAATATGGGTTGTTACTGATAAAAGTGCCTAAGTTTGAAATGTGATTGTTGACTTGCTTTTAGTGCTTTTAAATTAGTCTCCACCATTCTCAGCTATAGCAGAGAAATGTCTGAGGCTGAAACAAAATAGCAATGCACCGAATTACATGTTCAGATTTTTGTGACTTGAACGTTTTATATCCAGAAAGACCGGTGTTGCATCCCTACCTCCATAAAATAATTGGTGTACTCTGGGAAATGATTCTAATGATGGTACTTTGCAGCTCAGTCTCATCTCCTTTGTGTTGTGTTTTTATTTGTGTTTTTGTTTGTTTGATTAATTATTATCAGGAAGAGAACAGACCAGTAGGTGGATTTTCTCTTCGCGGCTGTCTTGTCTCCGCTCTGGAGGACAATGGAGTCCCAGCAGGTAAAGAGTGAGCCTCTAGACTTTGCTACATATGTGCTTATGTGATAGCATTACAGTTGCTGGGAGTGGTCTGTTGTTTGGCTGGCTGTACAAACACGGGCTAGCCTTTCTCCTCCCCTTGCAAGGGAGAGAAACTGTGCCATCAGGAGTCCCCACACTGCTGGGCTGGGCAGAGGGGATGTTATTTGTTTTGGTTTGGTTTGGTTTTAATTGTTTCTGCATATCTTGAGTGTTCCTTTTTTAATGAACTTTTCTTATTGAGGTGATGCATGAGAGAGCTCAAGGAACGCATTATTATTCCAGAGTTAACAGCTAAAGAGGAAATGTCTTTTTGGATGTTACTGAACTCAAAATCTTGAGAAAAACCCTGATGCTGTCTTTTTTTTTTTTTTTTTTTAATGTCCTCTCATTTGGATCTGCTAGAATCCAGATTTAGAAGAGACAGAATGGCCTTAGCTGTCTTATCTGTAATGAAATGGAGAGATCTGACACCTTAATTCACTAAATTAAAATTCTTCCATATCAGGAATTTTCACCTGCTGCAAAGCTGTTCTCTGCATTTTCCTAACCTGTCACTTTTTTTTTTTTCTGTAGGTGTGAAGGGCAATGTGCAAGGCAACCTCTTCAAAATAATCACCAAGAAAGACATTCATTATTATATCCAGGCCAGCTCCAAGGCAGAGCGAACAGAATGGATTGAGGCAATCAAACCACTGACATGAGTAAGATGGACTCCATGCCAAACAGTGTCACATTTGTGACCAAGTTCCCTGCTCTCTTTGTCTGGGAGTGATGGTTGTTTGTTTTTTTTTCCTTAGACATTATATTTTTGTTATGTGTGTTGTCATAGCACCTGGCAATTCCTGACAGATCAGAATCCCAGGTGGCTAGGATCACACAGATCTGGAAGAATTTATGGTCTAACCAAGAGACAAAGAACAACAAGTGGTTACAAATAAATCACACTTTACAAGGACTTTACATCCTTCAAGATGGAAGAAAAAGAATCTCTTGTCTGAGTATTCAGTCTACATGTGACAGATTCAGACTGTGCTTTATTCTAAAGCAAAAAATGTCTTGCTCCTTTCTCCTTTATAAAGGGGCTTATAAACTTAACTAGTTCAGACAGACTGAATCAAGGTGAATGAACTGAGTCACAGTCATGAAAGACCCTGGTGTCTGAGTCTGTCTTTCTTGATACACCGTTATAAAACCTTGCTCAAGCTTCGCTCTGGAATCATTAAACATACACCACAAAAAAAAAGTTCATTTGATTCTCTTGTGCTCTTTAGATACCATGTTTCTCAGAGATCAGTAGGAATAAGTGAAAACAATGGTTTCATAGACCTTAAACTCATAGTACTATGGAAAGTGAGAAACAGTCTGTAGTGGCAGAATAGAACTGAATATTTGAGATGATTGAAACATCCAACCAAACTGCTGATATGCTATTTTTATAAGATTTCTGCTATCTGAGTAGCTGTATCTGACAGATTCCGCAGAGTCACTAAATCACTCTAAAGACAGAACGCTATAGATTGTCCCTAAAGTCACAAAGTCTCTATCCACAAAACCACCTCTTTCTTATTTGTATATTTATTATAATAGCCATATATTTGGGATTCTCTTCTAAACCTACAGCAATGAAATAGCAGCACAGCATATGCATGCATTCAAATATTTACAAAAGCTGGTAAAGAAGTTTGCTAGCAAAGACAGTTTTAATCATATGCAAAAATGGATGACACAGTTTCAGCTACAGATACAATTACATAGGGTTGGTCCAGAGAAGGCTGTGAAATCCACAGCTGTTGAAACCTTTCAGTTCCTGAGAACTCTACCTGCAACAGATAGGGATGGTGCTAAGGCATCTACTACTGTGTACTGTGAAACACATATAGGTTTGTGCTGACTGATTGGAGATTCCTGGGCAAGCAGTTCCCTCCTGATAACATGAGCCTTGCTGGGAGCCTCCAGACTGTCTTATTGACTTCCAAAGATATTTCCCACTTCTCCTTTCTTAATCCCACTGCTTGACCGCCACTCAGTTCTAGTCATTAACAAGACTAACAGCTGCCACAAAAGACTGGGCTCCATTAGCTGGCTTGCCTGAGGGGTTAGGGAACCAAGAGGATATGAGACACTGCCTAGCATCAATAGTATTCTAATCTGGGAGACCAAGAAAGTATTTCAGTATAGGCCTTCTGACTTAGCTGGACCAGCCATATCTCTGCAATTTTTGAACATGGATGAGAAAAAAAAGTGTATTTCATCAGCAAATGAAAAAAGACAGTTCCCGTTCTCCAACATTAATGAGGAGAAAAAGATAAAACATTTCTCAGACAGAAGAAAGTGCATTTGTTTCCGTCCCCTGGTAATATTATGAACTCTTTTTTTTAAGCCACTTTGGTAAGCTTGACATCGCCTGTGATCTGCAAAGCTTTCACCAGGTTCAGGGGCTGAATGCGGTGAGTGAAGTCACAGAGCTGCCGTCCATCTAGCAAGACCTTTATTTGCTGATGTTCACATAACAGCTCCATCTGCAATGGAAAAGGACAGGGGAGGGTGCTAGAGGTTGGCAGCTGAGCTTATTTCACCACTGTGAACTTAGAACCCCTGTGTAATAGGTATGGTGAAGCACAAAGTCTATCAGCTCCTCTGAAATGCCTCTAATAAATAATCTACTCTATGCTGAAATAATACAGTAAAACTCTTTATAAAGAGCTCTTTCAGTAGAACTAGAGGAATAAATGAATCTCTCCTGCAAGGGCTTGAACTGTTGCTCTGTGCTATATGAGAATATATCAGTGTTGTTAACCCAGCAATTTCAGTAGTTAGTCATACAGCTCTCAGCCCTTCTCCCCTCCACCCTATTTATAGTACTCCCAAAATTACCTTAAATGTGTCCCCTGCTATAAATGGGAAGTAGGGTATATTCTTCTCTTCTATCCCCCACTTCCCATCAATTCGTGCATTTCGTGTGATGGACTTCTCGCTAAAGTTAACTGTGAATATCATCCCAACATCTTTGTTTGCATCCACTGGATCACAGAGCAGAGTCACTGAAAAGCTGGAAAACAATTAAATGGCAGTGTAAAAGGGAGTGTGGAGCACAGCAGACATTAACTGTTTAATTATTGAAAGACGGGTCTGCTAAAGAGACTGCTCACAGGCTTAGGAGCTGCAGAGAAGGCTGAGGGTAGGCCATGCTTTCTTTCTCCTCCAGTTTCTAGAAGGACAATAATAAGTTCTGATTTTGTCTTCTGTCTCTTGTGAGTGAAGTAAAACAAGTATTGGTGAGTGACTGAATTCCAACATTTCCCCAATAGAAGTGCTGGAACTGATTGCCAAATATGAAAAAAAAAAAAGGTAAGGATAGCATAATTGCTGTCATCTAGATTAAACAAAGCAATACACATTCACTCCCTGTGCCAAAACTGCTATTTTTCAAGTGGTTTTGATTTCAGTCACCAGCAGACAGACTAGATACAGGTCCTATGTTGAACCTGTTCCTAGGAGAGAAATGTCATTTGTTCACCCCCTCTAGTTCATGTCAGATAAAGGCAAGGAGTAGAAAACGGTGGTAGAGCAGTCAGAAAGTTCTAACAGTGAATTGTTGCTCCACTTTCTCATCTCAACCTAGGGGCAGGAAAATTAAATAGAGATATAAACTGTGAATCTGTATTCCTTCCTTCCTTCCAAAGACACAAAAAAAATCTTTTGAATTTAATACAGATAAGAGTATATGACATGGATGACTTCTCCATCAGCCTCTTTACCTACCTCTTGGGGTTGGAAGGTACCATTCCTATGACAGTGAGTCTCATGGCAGGTCTCAGTCCGCCTTTAATTTCACCAACATACTGCTCCACCTACAGGGAAGAGGGGATATGAGCTGCAGTTGGTCACCTCTGATAGTTTTATTGTATTTTTATATGTAAAAGGGGATTTGGGTGGAACTGCCTTTTCCTCATTCACTCTAGTTGCAAACTCCTCTGGCAAACCAGAGCTACATGTACTTGTTTCAAGTAATTCTCTGGCTGCTTCAAGGATCATTGGAGAAACTAACAGAGGCACTGGTTGGCAAGGAAAACTAAGATACACCTTGCAAAATAAAGTAATGGGGGCATTTGGAGTATTATGCTGTAGCATGTAATCATTCTGTGTACATCGCAGTCAGAGAGAAGCTGCTGTGAAACACAAGTGTTATTAGCAGTTTGTGTAACACTGATAATTTTCCAAGCCAATGCACAACAGACACTCTTCCAGATAACAATGCATTTCGTTATTCCGGTGTTCCAAAGAAAAAGTTCATTTTCTTCTAGAAGACTTGCACAATATATGTATGATTTAGTAGTTTGGCTATCAGAACCTCTACATTTGCATGGAAACACATGGGCTTCCATTCAAGTGTACATTGCCATGGGTATTTCATACATGTTTTCAAATTCAGATGATTGGAAAATATGTCCAGTGTTAGAACTTTGAATTACTGAATGCTAGCTTACTTAATGGGAACACAAATTCAAGATAGAAAGCATTTCACCTATACTGTATTTCCTAATTTCAGTATACTAGCTATACCTTTTGCTAAGATGACCTTAAGCAGTTCTTTTTCCCTTCTTGATATTTACATCCAGCCAACATTTACCACACTTCAGATGCATTAATAAACCCCTAGCTCCTAACAGTGCCACTGTTGGAAAAAATGAATGAAAAAAATGACACCACTACCACTACTGATGATTGTTAACAATGTACATTTACCCTTGAGAGCTGGGCAGGTGACTCAGTAGGTGTGTTATGAATCCTCATAACAAAAGCAAAGTATCAGCCTCCTCATATTTTTAGGTCGGGAGCAGCTCCTCAAGTAAGGAGACTGGCTTTAAGGAGATACTTAAAATCAAATTGGAGAAAGTAGCTAGTAGAGGCTAAATGAACTTCATCATCGCACAGGTCCTGTGTCACATCACAGCTCCTTTCCTGCCTGTGCAAGATGTTACCCCCAAATTGAAAGTACAGGTTGAAAAATAGTTGGCACACTGGTGCCCCATAGGAAGAAGAGTCAGTAAAGGCATATGGGATCAAACTAGAATAGATCAAACCATAACCATAAGGTCTTAACATTTCCAGCTCTTCCAGCATGACTGAAATCAGCTCAGGAGCACAGCTGTCCACATGCAGTCACTCAGCCAAAGCTGAGTTGTTAGTACAGGTGAGAAATACTCAAGATGCCATATAGCCAGCAGCAGTACAAGCCCCTGCAGCACCTTGCAGAGTGTGCAGGTGTGTGTGCAGGGACATGGCCCCCTTCCCCTATTTTCCATTCAGGAGCCCTGGGGACCCCTTTGCTCACTTACTTTGGGACACCTCTCCTTCTCTGTCATCACTGCTGTGTCGCACACACTGCTCTGCTGTAGGAGTTCCTGGAGGAGCTTTTCTCTTGTGATGACAAAAACAAACAAAAAGCCCAGAATAAAGGGAGGATGTCAGGAGAGGGGGCGAGTTATCTCTGCTGAGCAGTATCTGGGCACCACCCAGCCAAGCAGCTGAGTCACAGCCCACACGCCTGGGCGCACCACAGCCAAGGGAGTGAGCAGCAGCATGAAGCACCCTGCCACCCGCCTGGAGGGCCAGGCATATCCTTTGTGTCTGCGTGTACATATTGAAGTAGATATTGGTGTGTGTGTATATTGCAAGACACTGCATTTGTTTATACAAATATACGAGGGCTGCTCTGAAATAAATCCCTCCTGTTTGTGATGTTGGCCCACCATGTCAGAAGCAGATGGTGGTAGGGCAGTAGAGGCTGAAACTTCCCACCAGTATTCTGTTACATTTTATCACCATGTGACAGACGGCAGCAGAGGGGCAGCCTGTCAAAATGGCATTTGACATGGAAGAGCATATGAACCAAAGGTGTGGCATTGAATGCAGAAAAAAAATGGCACCCATTGGCATTCATTAGCATTTGCTGAACATTTATGGAGACCAAAGAGCGGATGTGAGCACAGTAAGGTGGTGAGTTGTGCTTTTCAGCAGTGGTGACAGCGATGTGATGGACAAACTGTGTTCCAGATGGCCATGCAGATTTTTACACATGCGGCATGCTGGCTCTTGTTCATCACTGGTGAAAATGCACAGTGAATGGCGGTGAGTGTGTTGAAATATAGTGTTTTGTAGCTGAGAATTTGCTTGATCAAATGGTGTTATTGTGCTTTATACCCGCTGGAGTTTCCATGGAAATAAATAGGAGGCGTTACTTTTGGAGTGGCCTACACAGTACACACAAGCATTGTGTCTTCTTGTAAAATACATTTTTTTTCTTCCACTCCGGCCCTTTCAAAGGAGAACACGTGCTCTGCGTCCTTACAGAGGGCGGCAGAGAGCCGTACACACGGCGGTACGCACACACACACCTACGAACGTACCCCTCAGTGCACGCCTTTCTCACACCCTGTAACGACGTATCATATATTTACTCCCTTGAGTAAGGACAGAAACGGCATCAAAACGTAGAGTTGCTTCTACCCGTGTATGTTTACCCATAAATATTCCCCTCTGTGTACACGTACATACACACCCAGCCACAGCTGTGCCTGTCAGCCCCCTCCATCGCTAGCTGTAACTTTTGCTTAGCCCTGAGGCAGCGCGTTGGAACACGAGATACTTAAAGGCCCCTTCCAACCGAACAGCTCTAACCCCGAACCCTCCCACACACGCCCGCCTACAGGCACGCACACCGTACGTTAACCGCACGCACCGCGCATCACCGCCCACCCGCCGGGAAGCTCAGCAGAACAGGGCGCTGAGGGGGCGGAGCTTCCCGCGGAAGCCAATCGGAGTGGCTGTCAGAGAGGGGCGCTGGGCGTGCCGGTGGATGGGGATGGGAGTGGTTACGGGGAGGGCGGGGCTAGCGCTGCCCGGAGCCCTTAGGCACCGCCCGGCTCCCCAAAGAAAGATGGCGGCTTGTTTACCTTCTGCCCCGACCCGGCCAATGGGCGCGCGCCTCCCCATGCCCGCCCGGCGGCGCGATCAGCTGAGGCCCCTCCCAAGATGGCGGCGGCGGTGGCGGTGGCGGTGCTTCGGTAGAGCCGGTGCCGCCGCAGCGCCCGCCCCGTCAGGTAACGCTAAGCGCTGAGGAGGGGGGGGTGGCGGGAGCGTCCCGCGGGGCTCTGTAGCGTTTAACGCCCCGTCGGCGCGGCGGGAGGCCCCGAGGGCTGGCGTCGGCTCCGTGTGAAGCGAAGACCTGGGGCCTCCCAGCCTCCCGGCATCGCTCCGCGTGTCCCCTGGCCAGGTGCCGGGAGAATGCATCCCTTCGGCGAGGAAGAAGCGGCCTCTCTGGAACGGCTCTTCGGGTTCTTCTGTGAGTGCGTGCGAAGCGGGCGCTGGGAGCTGGCGCAGGCCTGCGTGCCACAGCTGGGCCGGTGGCGGGGCGACGGCCCCGGGAAGGTGGAGGCCATCCTGGAGGCGCTGGTGGCCTGTCCGCGGGCGGCCAGGTAAGGAGTGCCGCTCTGCGTCCGATGGCTGCTGGCTGCGGGAGGCCGGCGGGCTTCTGCGCTGAGACGTGTCGGATGTGTCCAGGCGTTTGGTTCGTAGGAACGGTGCCTTTCCAGCGCTGCAGGGTGTGCTGCTATCCGGGGAGGGTTAAAGCTTTGTGTGGTCATACTTCAGTTAAGGTTTGTGCAACGGTAAATGTTCTGGGAAAGGCTGCTATGCTATCTTTTTTCTTTCTGTTTTCTTTTCTTTTCTTAGTTCTTTTCTTAGTTCCTTTGATGGTGCTGGCTTTGAATACCAACTTTGAAATGTCTGTATAAGTGGAGCTTATGAAAAGCTGATACAAGTTAGAAGGTTTTTTGTTTGTTTGATCAGTGTAGTAGGTTAAGTTTAATTTGGACAGAGAGCTACGCTTGTGCTGTTGTGATGTAAGAGTTTGCTTCATTTGGGGGGATAGAACTAGACGGGACAGGAAATAGCAGCTTGACAAGCAGTCAGATTTCAGAGAAATCTGCTGAAGCACTGAAAGTGGATTCTATAGCCTGAACTTTAGACCAGAAACACATTTCATTGTTTTGAAGAAGAGAACTATGACAACAGTATTGGTTTCTCACAGACTCAAAAGCTGTTATTTGCACAGCAGAAATAATTGAGCAAGCGTGTAAATAATGTTAATGTTCTGTGTTCTCTGTATTCTTTTCCTGCTAGACTCTTCAAAAATTTAGTCATTATATGGCATAAAGAAATGAAAATAAATAAATAAAAGTAAGCTCTAACTAACTGATTTGCACAATCTAAGGAAAGGGAATGTCATTGTATAATCCGATATATCCACGTTTATTGCTTTTACAGATGTGAACAGAATTGCAGCCCATGGAGAGCTGCCTGGCTTTGGCTTCTTGTGCTGGAAAAATGGCTTGCAAGGAATCAGGTACAGAAGTTAGTTCTAGCTGTCTTCCAGATGTGGAATATTTTCCTTGTTACTTGTTTGTAACAGTAGGTTTTCCTGCTGTTCATGAAATCAGGCTTTCAGGGTAGCTGATCTATTGGTTTTTCTTTTACCAAACTTCTCAAGAAACAGCTGTTAGTCTTTGAAAGTGACTTTCTCTTCTGCATGTTGGAGATTAAAAACTAATGTTTTTTTTGTTGTTTCCTTGGGTAATAGAATTTTTTTTTTTATCACCGAGTATTTCTGTAACCAGAAAGGCTTGAGTTTATCAAGCTCTGCATTTGTGTAGCACCTTTCTTACCTGAATGAAGAAATAGTTCAGGAATCAGATAATTCTTTATTAGCTTTTGATGCCATGGGAGTTTAACATGTGCTTCCTGTGTCGCTCTTTTCAGAATGACAGATGTGTCCTGCTTCATGAGTGAAAGAGAAACTAGTCTTTTTCCTTATTTGTCTTTGTTTTATTTGTATGCTGGGTACTGTCATCATGTATGTGTGTGTGGGGTTTTTGTTTTTTTGTTTTTCCATTTTAAATTCACTTGTTCTTGACACTGCTGAAAACTTTAAATTTCTTCACTATTTTAATGGAAGATGCCTTAAATTGATGATATTATAATTCCTGAGGAAGTGATATTTTATCTCCTATTCCAGTGGAATCTACTGGTGCAGCAGCACGTTCTAGATGTGGAATAGTCTTCAGTTGAGAGTTAAGTTTCTTCAGAGAGATATTTGTCTGCCTTAAAAAGTTAATGAAATAGCTAAGATTCAGTTATGATAGTACAGATAAATAAAGCTTATGTTGGTTAATATTTTCCCCATTCTCTTTTATTGTTTCAGAAAACTGTACCTGTTGTTCTTCAGAGAGAAACAGAATTTTTATTGTTCTTGGAAGAATTGCAGAAAGATGTCTCTGAAGAAGTCCTCAAGGTGAGCTGCTTAGCATATCTGGCTTCTTGTTAGTTACGTGGATTGTGCAACCTTAACAGTTTTGTGTATGTTTCCATCTAACCTCCAAGATTGTAGTAGATTGCTCGCTTGTCTGTATTGTTGCACAGAAATATGATATTCATCAACTTCATCATTGTAATTTCTTTCAGGGGTGTAATAATAGATAGTTATCTTTTGAGCCAGCCAAAAGAAAATAAAAAATAAGGGCATTGCAGACTTGTCTTCTAGCGTTTTGCTAAGAGATAGAAGAGGGTAGCACATCTGCCATCCTGTAGGAGCTGCTGGTGTGAACTAAGACATTGATGTAAACTTATTTGTGAGCATATGACCAGTGAGTGTAGTGTAGTTGTGTGTTATAGGTTTAGTTATATTTTGGTATGTACTTAAGCATATCCACTCTTCTAGGGAGACTGCTGGATGATGTAGACTCCAATTAGTGAATTAGCTAGTGAATTTCATGTTTCCAAATTGATTTATCTTCTTGCTTTCAAGTTTATCCTATTTGGATTAAAAAAAAATAATCGTATATATGGAGTCCAGAAGGTGTAATCTTCTATTCTTTCCCTGTCAGGAGCTGTTGGAAGCATATGTGTGCACCCAGAACAGACGTGCTGCAGACACAAAAAGAAGAGATGGCTGCTCTCAGAGATTCAGTTTGGATGTTGTTTCTGCTCTCCGAAAACTTTTGTTACGAGCTCCACAGAGGGTACAAGTCCTGCTGGAGTTCTTCCAGGAGGAACAAGACACACACAGCCCTTCAAGCCAGCAGTACTGCTCTCTGCAAAACATCTTTGTTGAATTTCTTCGTGACTCCTTGAAATCTCTGCAGAGATTTCAGTGTGGTTCTGAGATTTCAGAGCTAGATCAACGAGAACTAGTAGATATAATTTATTCTGTTCTCAGTATGGTGACTTTTGAGGTGGAACACCAGGCTGATGAACTGCAACACCTATTCAGGGAGCTCTTGGATGTATGCTGGGCTGAGGGAAGCCCACTGAGGGAGGAGAAGCTACTAAGCTGTATGCTGAGGAAGCGGAGCCGTGGCCTGTTAAACCTATATAGCAGTGTTCTTGTAGATAAAACAAGAGAAAAATTTCTGGTATCAAGATCAGTAGGAAAA